TAGTATGAATTCATTGGATGACAAGGTTTTAAATGGATTGATTGACAATAGGAATGGATTGTCAATTTTACAAGTAATTGGCTTTACCCTAAAGTAAATGGTTAAACTGTAATTTTAAAATTATTAAGTATTTTAGTCCATCAGGGTTGTTATCTAATATCTGAATGTTTCCATTTTCTGCAGAAAAATGATATTGTATTTGACTCTTGATAGAAATAGGATTTGTTTGTCAAATATAATTTGTACATAAAGTATTTAATCTAATCCAAGTGTAAATAGATTTGGTTTGGTTGTCAAATTGCTTGGTAATCATTTTTATAGGATTGACAAATTTGATATTAATTTGATCAGGTCTATATATCTGTCTAAAACTCTCTCAAGCACAGTTGATGATAGATAGTTTCAACTTCAAGTAGGACTTTTTGATATAAAAAGCTCCCCATATAAAGTCTTCCAAACTTCATTTATGACAGTAAATGTAAATAGTGTTTCAATGCAATGCATTTTTTAATTGTTTTATAAATTCCACAGATAAATCTTTAGATTATATTTAGTGAGGTTTACAAGGATAAGTGCATGTCCTGAACCTTTTTGTCAAATGGCAAATATGTATTGATGTTGTAACTTGACTAGTAGGCAGGGTAGATGAATCAGTGTGATCAAATTAGAGTGATCAATAAGAGGGGGTTGGTCTCTGTCAATTTATAGAATCATGTAATATGCCAGGAATAATAAGTTACAACACTACAATGTTCCAAATGTTTGAAATTATGTTAGTAATCACCAGAAACAACTTTTTTTAAAAGTAAGATTTTTAAAAAAGAATTTGTCTAACTGCAATAAGAGACTTTCCTTTAGTTTTTGCTGACTTAGAGTAATAATATTAATGGAGTTGAACGACTAGTGAAATAAATTTTTAATGGGTATTGATAGCAAATGTGCTAATTTTCATTCATCAGAAGTTTTCTTTGAATGAACTTGGATCACTGATTGCTATAACCATAGTGAAATTGATTGTGGTATGAAATGGACATGTCAGTCTAAATATTAAACAGAAACAGGAGAGGAACAAATCTATTTTTGTTTGATGGGATCAATTCAATGACTAAAATAAAAATGAAATGATGGTACTTCCTTGAACTAGTTAGGTACATGTAGTTTAATGATTACATATGTATATTGAGGGAAGTGAATGGTGTGTCTCAATAAGGAGAGATGAATTTTCAAACCATCAAGAAGTATTAGTCCTTCAAACCAAGAAGAAAGAATTAACAATTACATTTAGACATTTTTCATTTTTTTATTCTAAACATTGAAGTATTGCTTTTAATAAGCTACTGTTTAAGGTTTCTGTGTCAAAGTGAACTTGCAAATGTCAGTTGCACTGCACAAAAGAGCAGACAACATTCAGATCTAACAGCTGATTTTGTTTTTAGAAATTTAGTTAAAATTGAATGAATTTTCCACCATTACAAATAAGGAAACAAAGAGGAAATGTAATTTATAAATTGAGTGGAAGAAAAAAGAATACATATCCATTGCATTAACCAATCTTTTCTCCCTTTAAAAACAATTTTCAGTGGAAAGTGTTTTGTTTATAAGCATATTTATAAAGAGACTTTTGGGCAATAGGGAAAATATTTTTGCTGATAAAAGCACATTTTAAAACAATTTTCCTCATAATAAGTTTTATAGAAATGAAAACTACACATTCCTCAATTGTTCTCACCTATTTTGATTATGTTTGGATTAAACAGGAAGAATTTTTCAATTGTTTGATTTTTTTTACATATTCAGGATAAATTATGTGATAAAAAATTGAGTATCTTGTGATTATCAGGATATAATAAAACCCTTTCTGCAGAAAAATATACGGTGAACTTTGCTATGGACTTCCTGTGTGTTACAATAATCTAGGGGTTAAAATTGAAAAAAAAAGTATTTAACAGGATACATTTGAGCATTCTTTTACATAGTTGTGGTCAGTTTGATCAGGAGGTGTCATTATGAATTCATATGAAAATATGGATGAATTTTATGGACATTTTGATGCTATGAACATGGGTGGATTTTATAAAATCAAGCTGACACCAGGAAAAGGTATTTCATTTATTTCTTTTTGATTGAATTGAACATTTGAAGACTCATCATTTAATATGCTTATTTTTTGGAACTGGTGTACAAAACTAACCTACAAAAGACAAGTGGCATAACTGAAGCCAGCTAGAAGTATCGTTACAAATGCCATGGATTAATTTCTTATTATTAACTGCCTATGCAACAGCTAAGCCGAATCTAGCAACAACTCAACTTCGTCCATCTGTCCCTCAGTCCGTCTGAAAGACCTTAGTTGAAAACTTGCATCAAAACTTTTTTATCTTCTATGAATGGGAATGATTTTATATTTTGGTCTGCAGATTGATAATGTTAAGTTGAAGCAATTTTTATATCTGCATGCAGCCACTTCCTGTTAGCCCATAGTTTGAAATGTTACAACACTCATAATGTACCAGGAAAATTTTCTATGGAAGTGTATGAATTTACATGCTTCAGAACACATGTGACCTCAATCAATTGCATGCAGCAAATGAAGTCCTGACCCGTTATAGATCTTGTTTTTAAGAAGCTCTTGTTGAATATATGTCAAACAAACACTGTGACTGAGGCTTGCTGAAAATTATAATCTTAAAGTGAATTCAATGACCATTGTCCAAAGTCTGGAGAAACAGCTTCTTCAAATCAGATAATTTCTTATTTACTGGGACAGCTCTCACATCTGGACTGAATTTTCTAGTTCTAGTTCTCGTCAGTGCACATGCAGTTTTGCAGAACAAATAATATTCTTTACAACTCACGTAATCTGTAGAGAATGGCACATCTGTAGAATGTTATGGCACACAATGCTTAGATGATTTAATTGTTACTATTGTCAAAAGCTTCGTTATCTTTCATGAATGGATTAAGATCCTGTGTGTGTGTTTGTTTGTATTGATCTAACTTATGTCTTGTGTATGCTCAGTCGTTTTTGTCCATAATCTTAGTAATTTGTACAACTTGGTACATTTTGTACAAACTTGTCTCTTCTCAGTTCTTCTCCACATCAAGCTAGTCACATCATTGGCTGGACTTCAATGATCTCTATAACAGTATGCTGGAGGGTACTGGAACATGGAACAAGACTGATAGAATTAATTAATGCTTGTATTAGTTGCTATTACTTCATGTCAGTTTATATCTTGATTAGTACTTTCTTATAGATCCCCTATTGGCTCAATTATAAACCATTTATTATGCATCTTTGATGAATAAAAGGATGGGTTATTTTGTACTTTCTAGAACAAGGGACTGAAAGCAAACATCAATAATTTCAATAAGTTTGGAAAATGATAGAAAGCAGATATTTGTTTTAGTTGGAGAAATAGTACCAAGTTCATTTATTTTTCCACTGAGTATGGGAAACTAGAAACCATTGAAGATTTGAGTAGACCGTTTAATTAAAGAATAATTGAAATAGAGAGAGATTGAGTGGTGATTCTAGCTTTTCTTCAATTTTTTTAATTTATAAATGAGTTGGAATGAACTTTCCCAATCTGCAGTAGTGTTGACTGACAATTTGAATATTTTAGTAATTATATTGAATAATATGTATTGCCAGTGAAGACCTAATTTTGACTGAATGAACCTTTGAAAATTACCAATAACTACTCATACCCCTACCCCCATCCCCACCAAAAAAATATAATGAAAAGGAAAAATGAAGAAATGTTATGTAAAAAGCTTCTTTGAACATCATGTAGTAAGTAGGGGTTATTTGGTAAATTAATTAAACAGTCTGAATTTATATTTAGTCTACAAAGTAATGACTTGCAGAACTTAAAGGTAATTTGCTTTGCTTCCAAATTCTCAGGTGTGTTTGTGTTAAAAAAAGATGACAAGTGTGCCAAATAATAAAGTAGGATACATGTATACTTAAGTATTTTAATGTTGCCACTTCTAAAGACACAATAATAAATTACAAAAGTATGCACAGTTAAGTAGAACTGAAATATGTTTCATAATGTTTCAATTGTTTCTAGCATATATTTATTCACAAAAATGTATGGTATGGGTTTGCTTTGCTGTATGTAACTTCATTATAACACTTTTGAGAGAGATAAATTGTTTGAAGTTGAGCTTATGAATGTATAGACAGTTTCTAGCATCTGGCAAAATATGTGAAGGAGGAAGTTATATTTAGTACATGGTAATCAAGAGGAAATGTAAATTTCTGCATATTTTTGGAATCAGCTGTGCAACAGGGGGCCAGTGGGGTGAATCTTCTATCTTGTCCCAGTTATCTTCTTCTAGAAATCAGCTGATTTTAGATAACTTTCAAACTGAAATTATATGTACACATTTTGTATGATTTGATAAAAAATTAAATCTTATATATTATTGATCAATGAAAATCTCGTCCTGGTTTATGTGTTGAAAAATATGATTTTTGAAGAACATTTAATTATAAAGTAGTGGTTATTGCTATACATATCACATTTGAAAGCCTGTGATATTCTTTCAGTGGTTATAGAAATATGTTTTTTTGGTATTTTCAACATGTTTGATAGAAGATTTGAAGTGTTTCATTACTGAAGATGCTTTATCCTATCCCATCAGAAAATAAGTTGTAAGGCTTGATTTTATATAGTGCATGGAAAACAAATAAACATAAAATGTTTCAGAAGAAGTTTTTTTTAACATACATGGCAATCCACTTGTGGTTGAGAACAAAATTATAGTGTGAATTTATTGCATGGCTTAATTTATAACAAATCAAAAACAGTTTTAGGAATATGTTCAATAAACCAATGTTATTATGTGTAAGTAAATTGCATTGGAAAGGAATGTCAAGCATGTTGGAAGAGTAATGTAAAATATACATATATGTTCATCCTTTAAATTATACAGTGTATAAAACTTTAGTAAATGAAGATAACATAAATGAATGAATTCTTCTTTTGTAGGTGACAACATACATTTAAAGATCTTAGTGCCGTCAATTGCCGCCGGAGCCATCATTGGTAAAGGAGGAGAAACCATCGCTCAAGTACAAAAAGAGGCTGGAGCCCGCGTTAAAATGTCCAAAGCTAATGACTTTTATCCAGGTACTGCCAACAGAAACCAAAAATTGCTAAACATTAATGTTTTCATGAAAGCTCGCATAAAATTCAGCCAAAATAACATTGATAATAGTGATTATTTTCTCTGATTTCTTTAATCTACTTGAATTACTCTGTAATCTCACAAAGTTATAAGGTAGATAAAAAGACATCTTTCCAAAAAAGTATATGTACGACTATTTGGACTAGTTTACTAATGAGGATGAACACTAAACAGACTGTTTCCTTCATTGATGGTGGTGTTCAGTTGGCTCCTTCTTAAGGAGTGTTTATTTTCTTGACTGGATATGCAAGTGTTTGCAATGATATCTCAAAATGTCAAGGAAATGTAATATTTTCATTACATCAGGGGTATGGATATCAGGTCTTTTGTTGATAACCATATATTGACCATTAGATTTGTGTTTTTGCATTGCTTGTTTGCTGTCTCATTGATATATACCCACCATTCCACTTATGCATATTAAAAAAATACAATATTCAATTCATACCACAGTATGATAAGCAATGGAGTAAGTGAAAAATCTATGTGGGGTTTTCACATGGATATATAAGATGTATTGATTTGGTATAATCTTACAGGTAATAATGAGTCTTCACTTTGAAAAAGTAGTGACTTTCTTGTTTTACTCATCCTTACTTGATGTAAAGAAATGTTCAAGTTGTCACTGTTTATAAAGTAGATTACTTGGATTTTGGAAATTTGTAAATCTAAGAAGACCTGTGATTTATATTAGAATGAAAGTTCTTGTAAATATAAAAATGGCATAGTTTGTGTCTCCTTATGAAATCATTTTATTTTTTACTTAATGTGATATGAACAGTTAGTAATTTTTCCATTTTTTCCATTTTTTCCTTTAAAATGAATTTTGAAACTAAAAGCTTTTGCTTATTAAATATGCTTCTTTAACCACAAAACAATTTATAAAATGTTCCTTAATATTGATTTAAACCTTTGAAACTTTTCCTTATGAGAATTTAATTGTCTCTTGCCATTTAATTTCTATTTGTTCTAATTGCCTGGATGCTATTGTGATAGTTTGCTCACCTTCAGTGAAGGAGGTCATGTATACAATCTAAAAGATATAGACATTTGCCACTTCTTTTACTTAGCAAACAGCATTTAGTGGTAAGAACAAAGTCTAGATAGATAGAGGTAATGTCTTCATGTAGGATGTCATGTCTTAAAACAAACTTGCCTTGTTAACTAGATTGTTCAAAATACAACTCAGCATGTCAGTTTAGTAAAAAGCAGGATCCATTTCTTAACAAGTGTTAGTCTTACAATATGAATGTAATAGTTGCCACGGGATGTTAAACAGTCATTCATTGATCCATTTATTTGTTCTAGCAGTTGTTTCATGTTTTCTCATGTTTGCTAGTGATTTTTACTTTCATTTTTGTTGTATTTTCCTGGACTTAGTACATTGTTAGTTGATAATTTTAGAAAACAGAATATTTTTCACTTCACTCTTATCTTTGGACAAGGTTAGCAAATTTGTTATCGGCTTCTGATTATATATCATATATTATTGTTCTTACAGTACCTCTTCTAATAATAATTAGTAAGTTTTATTCATGTGTCAGAATGGATTTCTACATGACCAAAGGTTTAAAATCCCATTTGAATCTTTAAGGCAATTGTTTTGGGACTTAAATGATCAGTACCTTCAAATTTCTCAAATCTAACCTGTAAAAAGAATCATTTTTGTTATTTCTTTAAAGCATCTTTTGAATTATAGGTTATATCTAAGGTTTTTAAATGAGTTGCATTAATAAAAATTTACTTTTCAATATATAGAATTTAAATTCACAAACTATTGGCCGTCAGTGTACATCTTATGGCAAATGAGTTAAAAGCAAGACTAGTTTCTTGTAGAAATTGTTTTCTCATGAGTACTGAGATATTACTTTGGTTTTAAAATTAATATATATATATAATGTTTTGTGCCTAAAGAAGCATTCTTAATAAGCAATAACTGCTAGTTTAGAGATTTATTGAATAAAATAACAAACTACCATCTGTTGTTATTAAATTAGGTAAAACTTAACAAAGGCCTATTTATAAAATGAATGCTTTCTTGTTCCAAGATTTTAAGTCTTTCTTGTCAGCAAATTATACATTTTAAATGAACAGTTATTGTTCCGAAACTACATATTTTATTTATCTTATGGGTATATTGAAACATTTAAACCAATAACATATTGTTTAGGGGTGTAAAAGTTATCGTGTGTATTACTAGAGACACTGTTGTTAACAATAACTGTGTAGCATGCACTGTTAACAGACTTTTGTTGACAAGTGACTAGTAATTGTTCACATCTCACTTCTCAAGAAAAAATGTATGTTTCATCTATTTATGTAAAATTATGATTGAAAGGGTATAATTTAAAGAAATTCGAGATCTGTCTACTTTTTAAAACATTTAACGGATAAGTTGGTCTGTGAATATTTGAACTTTCCAACAATTTTGCAAAGATATTTATAGCATTACATGGTACTGGTATATAAAATAAATTTATGTTAAGTTTGAATTAAAATCTAATTAGATTCCAAAAACATATGAATAAAGTAAATAAAGTGTGGAAAAACAATGATACAGCAACCCAACAAAAAACAAAAAAATCATGATAAGTATGAATACATAATTACAATTTGAAATAGTAATTTTGATATAATTTCATGCAGATTTTTTTCCAATTCCTTATTCATGTTCTCTTTATTGAGATTCTTACTTTAATATTGGTAGAATTTTGAGGCGGTTTACTTTTTTGGGGTTCCATGTCTGAAAAATTTATTTAGAAAATCAAATATGATTTTGCTCAGCAGTAATTGTATAATGGAATTATTCGGATTTGATTTATGGGTGTTCCATGTAAAACATTGTCTAGGTCATTTCAATTGAATTTATATCAGATCTTCTATTCTACTGGTGGCTAACTGTCAAACCATGGGATCAGTATGACATTTTAGTAAGCTGGAACATGTTGGAATTTAATAGGTTTGCAGTTGCTAAGGTTATATTGACTACTAAAATTTAAAAAAAAAAGCTTCATATGAAGAGATGATTTCCATTTACATTCAAACAAACAAAAATTTTGGAAAAAAATAGGGATTTTATGTGTCAATCCATATTTCTAATACATTTAAAACGTTAAATTTCACTATCAACACTATGTTCTCAAACTAAATATTTTGTAGCTCAGGACTTTAAGGTTCAGGAATTTTTGTAAATTGAATACTGATGTTAAAGGAGGATAAACTAATTTATAATAAGTTGTTAATGAAAATGGGTACTGGTTAATATATAATCTTTTGGAAGGTGTTAAGCCATTCTGGTCAACAAGATGTAATAAATTTTAAATGTCTATATCTGATCACAGCTGTAAAGACAGAATGACAAAGCCAATGTCATGATCCACTGAACAAATTCTGACATTCTGACACCTGAAAGACTTGCTTAATTAGGTATTTAATTATGTCCATTTCTTTTGTCTCTCAAAACTTGTAAAATTGGTCAATTAGCCAATGGTTTTAAATTGGATCTTTCGTCAGTCATTTTCTAAATTGGTTATTTTTTTTGCATTAGAAGAAAGGTCTCATCAGTTTAGTTGTATGAAACTTCCTGTATATACATTCACTAATATTGAAGTGTTATAGTTTCATAAATTTGGGGGTCTGACATTATCCAAAATATAAAAACTCTGTAAAATGTATGTACTACTCTACAACTGACTGCATTTTTAGTCAAATTGAAAAATAAAACGAAACATAACGACAAAGGCTGTTAGTTTTACACAAAAGCTGAGTGAAACTTGTTACTTTAACTTGTATTCAGATTTTTGGAAGGAAAGAAAATGTGTTGCATATCAAAATATTTTCTTCCTAGAATATCCTTGTTTAACCTTGTTTATAAAGTTCTAGTTGCAAGTCTGTCTGTCTAGATGCATCAACCAACTGTCTTTTCTTTCCTGTAGATTTAGATAAAATATCATGTTCAATCAGGAAAAATGATTAAATGCAGTTGAAATGATAAAAAAGAAGTTTCATGAGAATGTCGGCTAAAAGGTTTTAAGCAAATGTTTGCTATTAATTTGATTAGATAGAAATGTTGAATCAATGACAAGAGGAGAATATGATGTCTAATTCTAGAATATGTTTTTGTCTCATCAAAGCTAGCTGAACCTTTGTGTTCTGTAAGAACTATTACACTGAAGAAAGGTTATATCTGTGTCATAGGGGAATATCCTACAAGCATTGTGCCTTTGCACATGAGCAAGCTAAAGATGGCAAAGTATACGAACTCAAATTATCTATTCATAATAACCTGGATAGATATTATGTAAAAAAACTTACTTTGATCAATAAAAGCATTTAAACAATTTTCACAGATTTTTGAGGTTGAAATTTATAACCAGGTTGTTCAGATAAGGTTTTCGACAGACATTCACTGAGGTGGTTTTTCTACATTCAATTTCAATAATGTTTTGTGATGTTCTCTTTGTTTTTTGATTAAATTTGTACTGTTTTCTCTGTCTATTAAATTGCCTGTTCGCATTTTGGTTTGAAATTGTGTTATATTTGATATTTGTTACATACATCAAGATATTTATCTCCCAAAATAATTCACATGGTTTAAATGCAAAGATCTTTTAGCATTCTTTTAAAATGGTGGTAAATGGTTATTATTTGTTCATTGTGAAATGGCCATTTTATTTCCTGATCATTCGTGCACATACCGCTTTTACGACTTTCTCTCTATATTTATGAAAGTACTCTATCCGCTATCTTCACTTCTGAATTTGGTTGAAATGACAGCGCCAAAGGTATTTCATAATACAAAATTTGATTAAAGCAATAAAATAGCCACCGCATATCAGGATTTAGACAGAATCAAAATAGGATAAGAAAACACCAAAAAATAAAACCATGGAGATATTGTGATAGATTGAAACCATTGGTTGACCATTTCTCCCTTACAGTTCACACTGGTTTAATGCTGTATTCTGTTGGCTATCCCCTTAGAAATCATGCTGGTTTGATGCTGTATTCTGTTTGCTATCCCTTTAGAGTTCACACTGGTTTGAGGCTGTATTCTGTTGGATATTCCCTTAGACTTCACACTGGTTTGATGCTGTATTCTGTTGGCTATCCCTTTAGAGTTCACACTGGTTTGATACTGTATTCTGTTGACTATCCCCTTTGAGTTCACACTGGTTTGAATCTGTATTCTGTTGTATATCCCCTAAGATATCACACTGGTTGATGCTTTATTCTGTTGACTAGCCCCTTAGAGTTCACACTGGTTTGATGCTTTATTCTGTTGACTATCCTCTTAGAGTTCACACTGGTTTGATGTTGTCTTCTGTTGACTATCCCCTTAGATATCATACTGGTTTGATGCTTTATTCTGTTGACTAGATGTTGTATAACTTAAGGTATCCTCCCTTTCATTCTTTGAATATATGCATTTATTGTACCCCACGCAACAAAGTTGTGGAGGGTATAATGTTTTTGACCCGTCCGTCTGTCCGTCCGTCCGTCTGTCTGTCCGTCAGTCCTGTTCTTGTCATCGCAACTCCTCTGAAACCACACAACAGAATTTCATGAAACTTTGTAGATAAGGACATACTATGTAGATGTGCATATTAACAGGAAATTATGATTCAGGAGTTATGCCCCTTTGAACTTATTGGCCTCAATATACTACTGCAACAGTTGTCATCACATCTCCTCTGAAACCACACAACAGAATTTCATGAAACTTTGTAGTTAATGAGGACATAATATGTAAATGTTCATATCCACAAGAAAATTTTTATCAGTTGACTTTTGTAGAGTTATGAGTCTTTGAACTTAGGAATCTGGTGAGATTTTGTTTGTCCAGTGACAATGTGGGGGCGTGGGGTATGTGAGCGTGCTCACAAAGGTTCTTTAATTTCGGATTCATTTTATTTTACAAGATTTCTACCAAGTTCTCACTTGAGTTATGTTCCTTTTGCTATCTGCTATAAACATGTGTACCTCAAGGTTTACTCCAACCCAGTTTATAGTTTGATGGTTTGGTGCTGTATATATAGTATTGCTTTTGATATATGTTATGTCTTTAAGATTTCCTCTTAGTTCAAACTTAGATGGTTTGAAGTTGCTGTCTGTTACACTCATGTTAAACATGTGTACCTCAGGGTTTACTCCAACCCAGTTTATAGTTTGATGCTGTATATATAATATTGCCTTTGATATATGTTGTGTCCTTAAGGTTTCCTCTTAGTTCAAACTTAGATGGTTTGAAGTTGCTGTCCGTTACACTCATGTTAAACATGTGTACCTCAAGGTTTACTCCAACCCAGTTTATAGTTTGATGGTTTGGTGCTGTATATATAATATTGCCTTTGATATATGTTGTGTCCTTAAGGTTTCCTCTTAGTTCAAACTTAGATGGTTTGAAGTTGCTGTCCGTTACACTCATGTTAAACATGTGTACCTCAGGGTTTACTCCAACCCAGTTTATAGTTTGATGGTTTGGTGCTGTATATATAATATTGCCTTTGATATATGATGTGTCCTTAAGATTTCCTCTTAGTTCAAACTTAGATGGTTTGATGTTGCTGTCCGTTACACTCATGTTAAACATTTGTACCTCAAGGTTTACTCCAACCCAGTTTATAGTTTGATGGTTTGGTGCTGTATATATAGTATTGCCTTTGATATATGTTGTGTCCTTAAGGTTTCCTCTTAATTCAAACTTAGATGGTTTGATGTTGTCATCTTTTACCGTCAATGCCATTGAAATTTCAGTTTCTGGTTGGAAGATCATCATAAATGGCTTCTTAGAACAAGTGATGAGAAGTACAACAGTTATACCCCTCAAGTTTTCCTTTCATTTCACACTTTGGTTAGATGCTATGTTCTCTTATGCATCTTTTTCTAAGATAATATGAAAATAAGAAGATGTGGTATGATTGCCAATGAGACAACTCTCCACTGCATAGTCAGCTATAAAAGGACCAAAAATGACAAATGTAAAACAATTCAAACAAGAAACTTAACAACCTGATTTCTCTTAAAATTCCTATTTTGGGTGACCAAGTTTTTATGCCCCGCATACGATAGTAATAGGGGCATTATGTTTTCTGGTCCGTGCCTCCGTTCGTTCGTCCATCTGTTCCGTGTCAAGTTAAAGTTTTTGGTCAATGATGAAGTTATAGTTGCATCCACTTGTAACTTTGCATACATAGTCATTATGATTGGGACTTTCTAAAAAGTATGGCAAATTTGGGTTTTGGTCCAAATTTTACGGTAATGTTGCCCTCAATTTCATTTGACAAAGAGAATAAAAATGCAAGCGGGGCATGGTGTCTTTTGGACACATATTCTTGTTTTAGTTATTGTTTTGCTAGTTTAGTGATACTTATTGTTTGGGAACTTTTGGCTGCATGTTTTAGGAACCCTGACTTGACGACAAAAACATTATTATAATAAGAAAAACAAGTGTAGGAGATGATAATTTGATATTTGATGAATCATATAAGACATACAACACTATTTATTAATTAGTGAGCATAATCAGGCATAAGATAATACAGTATTCAGCTCACATGACAGTGCAGAAATATTGGCTGCTTCTATCAAACTGACTTAATGTATAAAAATTATATAGTTACACATAATGTGTGTTGACAGGAACATCATCTACAAATGACCTATTTCCTTGAATAAAGCAAGCCACAATCCATTTAAATGGAAAATTCACATAGATGATTATATATATATATATATACCTGTTATAGGTGACATATTTTTACATACAATTCACCAGGAAGGAAAAAAAATATACTTGTTTGCAATAATAATATTACTGATGTAAGTTTCAATGACTATTCAAGAGTGATAATCTAGTACATGGGAAAGTAATTGAGGTGAAGAGGCTTCATATGACACAAACCATAGAAATCTGGTGTAACATTTCAAATAGAGCTGTTGAAGACCTTTCTAAAACTTAATGTATTTTATGATGTTGTCTAAAGAGTATCAAACTCACATATTGTCTAGTGTTCTTATAATACATGTATTAGATTTGTTTATGAAGCAGTATTGTACAGTTTCTGAGCTTGTTTTTCTATCTATTCAGAATGAATACCATCTTCAATTATGTTAATCATATTGCCAAGTGTACGTCTTCAATTCAAAATTACTGTTGATTTCCTCTTCACTTACACCTACAAATAATGTAGTCCTCATCTGATCTTGTCTATGTGTTTGCCAAAAGCAATGTATACTACTTAATACTGTAAAATAAAGTGGGTGTTGGCACATAGATAAATGATAAATAGTTTACCTGTGAGGTTTTACACAGGTAATCCTTTGATCTAACAGGTGAGGAGGTTGAAATTCAGTATGGGGGTACTTGAGTTATTATGGCTGGCTAATATTATGTTTAAGTATTATTAGATTTCTTTCACAGTCATGCCTGAAAAAAAAGTATGAGTCCAAAATGGGTTACAGGCTCATAAGAAAATGATAGGCTTTATGTGATTTAATTATGATTATAAAATTTTTGAAGTTAGTATATTAAATTTACACATATAATCAAGATATATATTTGTTTAAGGGAATAATTTTGAAATGCATGATTGAGAACTTTAATGCTGTACCAAAACTCTAGATTCAAGGCATACATACATGTATATGAATAAGTACAGTCAAACCTGCTGTAAAGGCCACCTCTATTTAGTGAAAAGCTGTTGTCAGTTCACCCTCTTCTTGTTCCTCTGTAGTTATACTTGCACATTTTAAACCTCAATTCAAAAATCACATCTTTTGTAAGGTCAGTTTTCTCTGGTCCAAAGAATGATCTTTATATACAGGTTATATAACTTTCTGTTACTTTTATTGGACTGTAAAAGGGGTGGTGTAGATATTGCCAAATGCAGAGCTCAGAAATCTTTATATGCAATGGAGTGCTTATGCCTGGGTAAAAACAGCAAAGCTTTATTGGATGATGTAGTGAAAGCTATCTTTCAATGTTGACCTAATTTTTGTAAAATTTTTGTTTTAGCCACAACAGAAAGAGTATGCTTAATAATGGGTGCTGCAGATGCTGTCAGAAAAATACACACATTCATCATGGAAAAAATTAGAGAAAAACCAGACCCCAACCCAAAGTTAGAAGAAACAAATAAAAACTTTGAGAGGCACAGACAGGTTTGTAATGAAGTAATCTATCGTCCAATTAACACGGTTTGATATCATTATCATTATTAATTTTATGGGCTGAAGAAATCCCCTTAAAAAGACCTCATTAAAGGCACTTCGTGTAAAAACAGAAAAATGTGTAAATGTATTTTCGTGACAATCTTTTAATGGTATTAATATTTTATCCAGTTCTTGAGCTTTCAACTGGAGAACATAATATGATCTGGTATAATTAAATTGGTATCGTCAATGATGTTATTAATATAAGGCCAGCATTTTTTCTTAATTTGTAGGGTTATTAGCACATATTTACATTTTGTCAAATGAAATTTTTTTTTTAAATAATTAGAAAACTTATACAAGATCCACAGATTTTAGTCTCTATTACTGGTAAATTTGATTCGAATTCAATATCTGAAGTTATGTATTTCAAGCAAATTGTTCAGTCCTATTGAGTTTAAAGTTTGATTGTAAAACTTTCTCCAATGATTTTTTTTATATTCATAATTATCTGAAGTTGTGGAAGCCAGTTAAGATGATACTGAAAAAAACATTGGCTTTATAGAATTCTGTAGAGAGAATTGTTAAAAATCACCCGAATTTCTCCTAATGAGGGGATTTCTTCAGCCTTATCATGCATCATTCATCATGGGGGACCTTAAGTACCCTTCATTCTTTAATATGTTTGAAATAAAGATACTATAAACTTTATCTTAGAGTATAAAGCTGAACACTTTGTAATCAACTTAGTACATGTTTTTAAATAAATTTTATAATAGAATTAATTTTTATGATAGTTTTTAATTGGTTTTATTAATATAATTAATTTTATGGTAGTTTTAAATTGGTTTAATGCATCAAGTTAATATTTTTGAAAGTGCAAGGTATATTTCCATTTTAATGAAATGTTGCATAATTAATGAAATGAAAATGTATTAAAAATCTCTCTTTCTCTGAACAGGTGAAAATTTTAGTGCCAAACAGCACAGCGGGAATGATTATAGGAAAATCAGGAAACTACATAAAACAGATAAAGGAAGAAAGTGGGGCCTACATACAGATATCACAGAAATCTAAAGAAATAAATTTACCAGAACGATGTGTTACTATAGCTGGTAAGAAAACTTCAGTCTCATTTATACTTCATTTGTCCACTGACTGAAATTATTCCAGGTTGCACAATGTAGGCAGGACTGATACAAAAGTTGCTAATAAACTACCAGGTATGCAGTTGTTGAAATCGTCTCTTTAAAAGTACAAATGAGCCCTTACAAAAATTACTTGTCTACTAAGATGTCAATTGCCCAAAGTTAGTATTTATTCCTGTTGCCCTTATATATTGCTTCTGTAACATGAATACCAAACAACCAAACTGGATTTTTGCATTGACAGATCCAAGATTTTCAAATTTTTTGCCTAAAATTTTGGTGTTGATTTGATTAGATTATTTTCCTAGTTATCAGTGATATATAGAAAAAAAAAAAGATCTGTGTACTTTCAAATTGTGATAATGGTAATGACTAAGTTACACCCTGTAAGGTTGAACATGTCTACATAATATCTCCTTGTGAATAATTTCAAGTTAACTGTAAAAATCCTATTTCATGCTTTAGTAACACTATCTTTACATAGAAAATCATTACATATCTACAATACTTTCATTTTTTTCCTGGACAACTAAAATTATGACTTCTTGAACAGGATCCTATCAAATTCCTGTTAAGGGTATTGTGTACAAACTATAACACTAGTGATTGAAAGATTGTTCATGACTTAATGACCAGCAGCAAATATTTATATCCAATATAACTTCACAATATATTAAGTCCTAGTGGACCAAAGAAGGTGTTTTAGAAGAAAGTCTTGCAGCTAGTCAAATGTGCAGAAAGCATAGCGTGGGGCATATGACACTAATTTCCATTCAGATTGGATATAGACTGAAATGTAAAATGCTACATTCAGTACAGAACTTATTTTGATATATGTGAACATGTGCTACTAAATAATATGAATTCACAAATGTTTTTTTTTTAAAATTATTTCAGGTGATGTTGAATCCAACAAAAAAGCAGTAGACTTGATTTTACAGAAAATTGTTGAAGATCCACAAAGTGGGAGTTGTCCAAATATCAGCTATGCAGATTATACTGGTCCTGTTGCAAGTGCTAATCCTACTGGTTCCCCATTTGCAAACCCTAATGTTGCACAAAACAGAGGACAAGAAATGGTTGTCAACACAACCAATTATTCAACCCAAGGTGCTTTTGGCATAGGAATAAATGGGAACACTGCTTTTAGCAATAGTTTAGGGAATGGAATTACAAATTTGAATTTAAATGCTGCATTAGGGGCACCAGGAGGAAGCATGACAAGTTCAGCATTGGAAAATTTGAAAATGACATTGCGTGGAAACGGGTATTCAGAACAGGCTACAGAGGATATCAGTAACGCTATGAACACATTGGCAAGTTATGGCATTCTAGGAATGATAGGACTGAATCAAATTCCTACAGTAAATAATATGGGAACGATTGCAAATATGGGACAGCCTACACCAGGGATGACTGCTGGTGTTGCTAATATGCAGAATATGCAGAACATGCAGAATATGCAGGCTACCATGCAGCAAGGAATGAACATGAATTCTTCCCTTGGGGCTCAGGGAATGATGGCTGCCACACCTGCAAGCTCAGCACAGAATAATTCTTATCTCAATACGAGCAATAGCTCAACTGGTGCAGGTAGTTTGTTTGGACCTGTTGGTAGTGGGTCATCTGGTTTGGGGAGTTCTGGATCAACTGGAGCTGGCTCTAGTCTGTTTGGGAGCTCCTCACCAAGTATGGCCAATGAGAGATATGTTGGGAGCCCCATGTTGAATGACTCATTTACAGGGGCAACAAATTACACAAGCACTCCAACAGCATTTGCCGCACCAACCATGCAGACTGAAAAACCGCCAAACATAGCACTGAATCAAAATTCTTTTGGTTTAGGAACAAGTATGTACAGTCCAACAGAGGATAAACAACAAACCATTAAACAGGATTTGGAAGTAGCAGAAAGTATAGTGGGGGCTATTTTAGGCCCAGGAGGGAAAGGGATTGTTGAATTACAGCAGTTTACACAAACCAACATCCAGATTTCCAAGAAAGGAGTTTACGTACCTGGTACCAGAAATCGTATTGTCACAGTAACTGGTACTCCATCAAATATAGGAAAAGCACAGTATCTTATACAACAGCGTATACAACAAGAAGAACTTAAACGTGCTAGACAAGCATCTCGTTAATTGAAATTAGTGGCTTTAAGAAATTTATTATTATTCCCCCAAAAAGACTGTTGTTGTTTTTCTTTTTTTAAATTTTATTAAGTTAATATTTTATTATTGTGGTTGGAGAGTAATATGTAACAGCACCCATTTGTGATGTTATTAGTATTCAAACATGGACTTGATCAACAATCACAATTCACACGAAATTTGCATGCCCATATTTGTTTTTTAACGTGTTTTTGTTTTTCGTTTTTCATGAACTTTTAAGTCTTTCTTTCCCAAGTTATGGGATTTTTAAAGCATGTAGGAAACATCTTAATAACATTTAGTGTTTGTTTTTGTATATATATTTACTGATACAGTCATGCATACTAAATAGAAGTACAACACATTTGTGATACATGCATTGTCATTTCCAATGTAAAAGTCAGAAGAGCATTGATATTTATTGCATTTCGCTAGAAACAGAAGTAATGTGATTGGTTAACTTCAATCTTGGCAATGTTTTGCAAATTTTTATTTGTAGAAGAAAATGTCTCTTGATCTTTTCGGTAATGATTGTGGTGATCAAGGGGATACAACTCTTGTTGAATTTCAGTTCATTGGAAATTATATATAGTGAGACAAGACAGAGTGGCAATTTTCAAAAGGTTTCTTTTAGGGAGTAAAAAATAAAAAGCAAGACATTGCACGACATGGAATACCTGGAGGGTGATACGTTTTGTTTATATATTATGGTTATATTGGAATGAATGAATGTTTCCCCTATTTATATTGTGATTAGGATATATTGTAATATTATATAATTATATATATATTATATTAACTTTTTGACAGACTGATAAGATTTGTTGACGTATGTTTTAGTCAAATTTGATTGTTATTATTATTTAACTCAAAAGTTGTTAACGATTTGTATGTATATGTCTATTTAGATATATGTGTGTATAGTCATAAAACACCCTTTGAACATAATGTTCACATTTTTTCTATAAAAAGGAAAATTTTTGGTTATTTGCCAGAAATCTTTTTTTCTGTTTTGAATTTGACTTTAATGAATGTTGCACTAGTGAAATTTCAATACATTTTTTTCAATCAGAGAAGATTTTTGCCAGCAGCAATTTCTAATATGTTTATATGAAATAGAATTGTTGATTATAATGACAGTTTGTGGTTGGCCTGAATGATTTTTCACACAGGAATAAAATTTGTCTAATTAATATTTATCATTGATTAAATAGTGTAAAGCAACAGGTCATTGTCAACATACTTAATAAATAGCAGTAATTATGAAATTTTCATATAGATAAAACACAATTTAATTCAGTAAAATTGGAAATGCTGACTTCACCATAATCATTTAAACAAGACTGAAGAAAAATGAATGAAATTGTCAGTTTTTATCCACATCCAAAGATATATACAATTTAACAATGAAAGCAATATCTAACAAAGTTGTCTTATTAACATATTTTGATTATTTTATAGAATATTTTCTGGCAAATAATTGATGGTCTTTGAAAATAATTTTTCATTGAAAGGTGACAGATGTTAAATAAGTTTTAATATTGATCATGTAGATGATTCATCAAGTAGGTATAGTAACTATGATGACAGAGTTCTACCTATGTATAAAGGTGAACAGATTTTTTTTTTGCATGTTATTGAAATCATTGGATTAAAATTATTAACACTATGTATATAGCAGTGTTATATGTATATGTCATTTAACATCTGTAGCTTTTCAACGGAAAGTTATTTTCGATTAATTTATTATACCATAACACCACATAGATATACATGTATTAGTAAAGGCAGGTTTACCTGGAAAGGAATAACTTTCTAGAATTTGTACTAGCGTGGTAGGTGAAGAATTTCACAGCTTTCTTTTTTGTGCTAGCTGTGTAATGAAATAAAAATATTCAGTGGAAGGTTAGATGTGTGTAAAATTACCTGAATAACGGGTACAATTAGTTATTATATTTATTTTTTTGTTTTTGGTGTGAAATGAGCTAGTATAAATTTTCTGATCTATTATTATCTTCTATATTACTCTCTCTTTGCTCTCTGAGTTTTCCTGCCCAGTGCTTGTTGAATACATAAAATATTTTGTCATTATTCAGCCCATTGTGTGAAGACAAGTCTTTCAAAAAATCTGTCAAAGTGTATCATCACAAGAAAATTGAGCATGCTTTTTTTTCACCGATTTTATATTATGCATCTTGTACTCAAAACTCAAACTTGTGCATTGTCACCCCATTGTATGAATATAGATCATCTTGGCATCAATCATGGGTTTTTCTTCGTTATTTCAATGATGTGCCAGCTACGGAGTCTTTCAAATAATTACCCTACTTTCAGAAAAAAACAACTTTCATTTATTATTATTTATTAGTGTGTGGTGATGATGATTTGATAATTAATAGTTATTCAATTAATCACTGTGAAGAGATTTTATGACATAGTTATTTAAGTTTTTTGTATGAAGAGTGTGTTTTTTGGAGACCAGTTGTTATATCAATGCATTGTCCATAGTATTTTCATAAATTTTCATATCTTCACCAGTCAATACTTGGGTGCTGAAAATTGACAACTGTGATAATTTATTTAACTTCGCACACTGAAAAAAGAATCATCTTTCCCATCTTGTTCACGACAGATGAGTTATCGCAGAGATACTCAAAAACTCTACCCATTCACATTGTACATTATTTATACAAATTATGCCAGAAATAAAATGTCCAGGAAAATTTGTGCAGTTGGCTTTAACTTGAATCTTTCAATTTTCAGTGAACTTCAACACCTACACAATAAAGAAACAGTGTTAATCTCCAAAGTATAGCTACTCAAGTCTTTCTGTAGGCTCAGAAGTAAAACATAAGATCATTAAGTGATACAAATTTTCTATCGTTTTGTATCGTTGAATAAAGCATTCAGTGAATGTCTAGGTTGAGGCAACTGCATATAATTTTTCATTTCATATTCATGCATCTTCATTAAAAAGCATGACATGTTCAAACTTTCAAAACTTTATTAGTCATTCTACTTTCATTTTCAGTAGGAAATCAACATAATATTAGACCAACCATCGTTTTTTAAATGGCAGGGATCCTATTCATTTCTTCTTTAGATTAGAAAATTTTGATCTCAAACCATATAAACTATTGTTTCCTGTACAAAACTTCATGGTTAATATGACCCCAGACTAGCCAATATCATACAGTATTTATTATTTTATTTATTTCCATATTCACTCATACTTCTCAAATCATGAAATTTGACAGTGAAAGTCATAACTTTCCTGTGATTGTATGTTAACAGTTTACATCTTTCAAATGTATTCCAGCCAATCAAATTGGTGCAAGTATTCAGTGCAGAACATACATTTTCAAATGACCACTCATTTCATGGAGTATTTAAATCTGTGATAACACATAGAATTTGGTCGTTTTGATCTTGATCATCCATCATTTCTTGCCTTTCACTTTCAAATTTCTTTGATTTGTGTAGTGTAGTGAAGAAAGTTCCTTATACAGTTAATCACTTTTTTATGTAATGAAATCCTAGTTTCAGTGTAAATTATAACCATTTCATTTCAAGGTTTATACTAGATCAAATGTTTTAAGATAAAATCTAAGTTTTATACAGTTTAAGCATGTCATACTTTCTACTGGAAATGCATTTTGTGAAAGAGATTTTTATTGTTCAGCAGTTTTATTTTTGTATGTTTTAACTGATGTACTAGTTATGTTTTATAGGAAGTTTTTAAGTTGAGGTGTGGCCAAAATAAGGTCATGGTGACCTAATTTTGAGTGTTGAGAATAAAAGATCTGAAAAATATTTGATGTAACTTAAGAAACAGAATGATTCTGGTGTTTTTAAACTTTTTATTTAATGAGACACTGTAAAAGTACTAATTTTTGCTGTAAATGAAAGGATATTGACTTGAAAAATCATCAAATTTATATACACTATAGAATTTGTGAGTTCTAATAAAAATTTATGTATACTGTTGAAATAGCTTGTGAAAAAGTAATTTTTTAATAAGATTATTAGAACAATGACCATCAGTTTGTTTTTTTGCTGACCCAGGGCTTTGCTTTTAGAAAACTGAATCATGAAACATTCACACATAAAATAATTCATGGAAAATACTAGTAAATAAACGGAACCTACTTACAAATCGGCTGTCTTGTTTGTCTATGAACAGAGCTTGCATTGAATTGGACTGAAAATATAACCATCTATTTTGCAAAATTATCCATACTGTAATTTATAAAAATCAATTGGCCTAAAGATGTCAATGTTGTCATCATTTTTAATATGAATGATTTTTTTTCATAAGACATTTAGCAAACAACAATCAGTCAATAAATTCTTTGGAAATTAGTACTTTTACAGAAATTTTTACATCAGACCATATTGTATAGGTAAACTTGTTTCATTTTAAATGACCTGGACATAAACTGTATAGTTTAATGTATCAATTTTTTTATATATATATTTCAGTATTATTGATAAATTTTCAGAAGAGAAATATCATTTCTTTTCTTTTACAAAACAGGATTTTTGTAAATTTGAGACATTGAGACAAAAATATTATTGTTTACAGTTTTAAACAGGCAAAAATTTAGAATCGAGAAAAACATCAAAGCTTGTTGCAGATTTAAAATCATTTTATCTGTAACAATCCAAATTGGAATTTTTTTTACTATTTGACTTTTTGCATATTCAGCCTACCTTTCTTTTGTAATTTAAAAACAATTGGAAAGAAAAAGTTGCATATCAAACAACAGAAACTGCAGATGTAATTCTATATCAAGAACATGAGAATTTTGTTCACTGTTTCATATGTTACAAAAATCATTGAGTTAAGTGAAATCTAGTCTACTACCTCTTAAGTAATGGGTAATGTTGTTGATTGATGACGAAGATATGCAAATTAGTGATTAATTTCTATGTTGTTAATTAACTTATATGTCTATGGTACAATTGTATGATACAAAAACTGGACTCTAATAACATCCTCCAAGTAGAGAGTCAATAACTTTGAAGAAAAGTTGATAGGACCCATTCATGAAATACCTTCAGTCATAAAAAATAGAATAGAAATAATTAACATTTTATATGTTAAGTGGAATCACATTTTTTCAAGCTAAGCCAATTTCACATAGTCATTATTTTCTGTACAGTTTTAGAAATTTTCATTTATTTTGCAGAGTGCTTTTTTGAGTTGATGAGAAATGGTGATACTTTATATATATATATATATATATACATAATATATATTATTATTAATTATTTATTTATGGATTGAGGAGATGAATTTAGTTATTCAAATGTCTGTGATATCATTCAGCCATTTTGTATATATATCTCGTAGAATCACAGTAGATTTAGTTTTTATTCCATGTGTTTTAACATTATACCATTACAGAGTGCAAAACTTCATCTTTTTGTCAGTTTTTTTAAGTAGTGATTCCACAGAAAAGTTGTGTAAATTTAACTGTTACACTATTTCGTTTAACTTCAACTGTATATGCAGTTGAAAAATACATGGTCAGAAGGTATTTCATGATATGGTAACAAAAACCTGTTATTTTTTTTCAATCTGTAGTTGGTTTAGGGATTTATATGAGTTCAGCACTGAAAGTCCTTGTTTGCAACCTTAAATCAACTAAATGAAACCAAGAGTACATATTTTACTTGAGTTCATTGTAGGATTTGTATCAGAAAACTCAAAACCAAAAACAAGGGAACAGAAACAGTATTTTACTTTTGTACATGGTTCTCTTAATAATAGTTTTGCATTACTTGAAAATAGTTTATTTGTTCAGTATGTTAATTTGCTCCCTTTATTAGATATATCTAAATACCATTAACAAGTATGTACTCTTGGCTACTAGATGTAATGTATGCATAAGTTACTGTTGGTATTTGCTTTGATATCTCCATAGTATGATCATGAATCATCAGGTGATGTAATTGGTGCAGCGTGAGAGAATTTGTAAATAGGACATTTGATCATGTGATTTAAAGACTTTGGGTATGAACAAATTTTAGTTCAGCTAGAAACATTCCTGTAAACCAGATTATTTAAAGCAGGGCAGAGAGACATGTTGAGAAGTAGCCGTTCATTTATGACATGCTGTCATGAATTTTAAGTCTTTCTGACATGATATTTGAAGTTTGGTCATGTATTAATTTAATGTGATGTGCAATTATGTTAGAACACACATAATGTTTAATTTATTTAAATTGAAATAAGCAAAATCATCAAATTGCTCTTAGAGGGCTCCACATGGTTATATCATATTCCTCAAGATAAGTGCTGTGATACTCATTATATCATCCATATTTATTTCAAACAGACTTCAAAACGTACAAAGGTTTTCACAGTTCATAGAGATGAAAGCAGCTAAAAAAATACTGGAACATTGAGAATGTCGAAAAGACAATGGATATAAATAGGGCAACAAAAAAAAGAAAAACCCTTATATTTTGATATATATAGTAAGAAGTAATATTAATCAAAAATTCAGGAAGTGGTATTGTATCTTATAGGAGTTAATTTTTTAACAATACATCTTAACTTAATTTTAATATTGAAAAGATCAGATGTTTTATTTGCCTTTTAACCTACAGTATTTTGTTTTATACCATGGATATTAACTGTTTTATCCCAAACATATTGAATTCAAAACTATCATGAAGAATAGAGGGGATGAATTGAACCTTGTCATACACCAAATAATTTATTTAAAGGTATAGATCTTCTACAGCAAATGTGATGATCTCGTGTGTCACTGTCATGTTGATGTAATCAACTGAGACATGTGTGTAAGTGCACACTAGTGTGATCAGTTGACATACTCAAGTGATCAGTTCGTGTTATTTATTGTGCATAAACGCATGCCATACTTAATATTGTTATTATTTTCTTGTTTTCTGAGAGTATATTATTTAAATTTTAATTTATTTGAAATAAGTTCACTTTATTGTTGAATTTGTTGAACAAATTAAAAGATTATTTGAATAAAGAGTAATCTTCTGTTAATGTATAGTTTTTGTAAAGTTATCTACTAAGATGTATATTAAATCTGTAAAGAGAAAATCTATTTATCTAACTTGCATTGACAAGTAAATGAACTTTGGTTAAAGCAAAAAAAGTAATGGAGTGGTCAGCTCAACTGGCCGAAATTAAAAAAAAATGTATTGGGTATAGTTGTGTCTATAAGAAATATTATGAAGTGTTTTCATTCAGTTTATAGAGGAATATTTTTGTTCATAAGTGTGAAAGCTTGCCTGACCAACACTGAACAATTATACTGAGTTTAAGAAAATATGAAGTATTATAATGTTCAGTTAGGAGAGGGATATTTTTATTTGTGAGTGATCAAGTTAACAACACAACAAAATGCAAATACATAATACATTTGGTGTGACATGCCTTTCAAAATTTGTAAGATCTTGAGACAATTAGCGTGGCAGAAAAAGAAATTTAATTTTGGTAATTTGTGTCAGACGATTAGATTCAAATACCTGCACAATTGAATAAATTTTGCCTGATATGTCAAATTGACAGATTTGATAAACACAGACAGACTGTTAATTTCATGAAATTTTATGTTGCCAACAATAATTTTAAATTAACACCCCAAGCAGATTTAATTCTCAAATGTTTTAAGTAAATATAATATACATTATATTTTCTGTTACTAAAATTGTCTGTGTCACATGAAAATGTTCATTCATAAAAATATCCCTCTGGTACAGTTTTTATGCAAACAGGTATAACAAAAAAGGGTTAGTCGACAGAGATACCTCTATTGTTACTATTTTGTTTCCTTTTATTTTTTAATTTTATTGGCATGCGAGTAAAATTAGTTTGAATGGATGTTAGTATGGTACTTCAGAAGAATTTACTGTTTAGTTGATGTTGTGAAAAAGGAAATTTTATGTAGATATGAATGCAAATACCACATACAAATGAATTAAACAGATTTACACAAGAAAAGTATCTAAATAAAAAAATTGGGCTGAAAGTTTTGTTTTATTGTTGTCTTGCCTCCTTACTGCCATAAAGAAATGTAAAGGGATAAGGAAGTAGTTAAATCAGATAGAAAAGTATTCTTGAGCACAGTGAAAAGGTGGTTTGGAAAGAGCAATATACCTTACCTATAAATTAACGTGAAATCCATAGCACACCCTGATACTTGTATCTATTGCCTGTATCACAGTTGTATTTATATATGATTAACTACCGGTACATGTATATGACTGACTGTCAAGTATGGTTCAGAAAATTTGAATGCCCTGAAGGATATTAACCATAGGATGTGTCCTGAATAGGCTTGGAATGGCTTTATGCAAGGTTAAAATTTTAACCAATCATTCAAATATATAAAATCGTGTGGGATTTAAAACTTTTAAAAACCTTGCAGGATTCCCATGATACTTGGGATTGTCGCTTGCACCCCATAGGGTGTATCACAAATAATATTTGAATGTCTGTAAAATCTGGGAATATTATACTTTAAGATAGTCTCCGGTAAAGTCAAGGTCACAAACTTAGTTTCAAATATACAAAGTTGTGTCTGCAAGGTCAAGGTCAATACTTGGTATAGTAAGAGGAATACGAAAGGCAGGTGGGGTCATTCTTGTGTGTCTGCGACAAAGGTTGCAGAATGGGAGACAAAGGGATTACAAACCAATGTGGTAGTGGTGTAAACTATTTGTATATAGCTTTATATTTCAGAGGTTAGTAGACCTGGAGGCTTTATACCTTTTATACAGATGCCTTATGTTACAAAGTTTCCATCTATCATATGTCTGTTTTCCTTGTCCTCATTTTCATGTTTCAGGGATTACTTGAAAAAAATATTAGTTTTTTATTTACATGCCCAGTGGAACTGGCATTAAGGATTACCCTTGTCCGTCTGTCCATACATATGTATTGATACCCGATATTGGTTTCCATTTTCTTACTGAAGTTTGCCTCAACAAAATGTCCTGAAGCTAATACATAATGCTTATTACCACCAAACACAGATCAAGTTTGATTTTGGGTGGCGTCACTTTCACCGTTCTCAAGTTGTATCCCTTTATAAATGGAAAATGCAGCAAATTTCTTGTATCCGCACTCGACCTTTACTGAAACTTGTATACAATGCTTATTACCACCAAACATAGATGAAGTCCTAATTTGAATGTCATTGCTTCCCCAATTCTTGAGTTATGTCCCTTTATAAATAAAAAAATTGGTGAATCTGCCACTTCCGCACTCGTACTTTACTTTGCCTCAACCATATGTTATGAAACTTGTACACAATTATCATTACCACCAAACACAGATCAAGTTCAATTTGGGTGGTGTTACTTACACTTCTCAAGTTACCCCATTACTGTTTGTTATTGAACAATGATAGCACCCAAAAACCCAAGCAATCTCTAATGACAAAATACAGAAATGTATATCATTAAGTTACAAAGAAAACAAAACAACGATCAGTATGAATTAATACATTGACCTTGCATATTTACAAGAGGGAGCATCTTTATCCACAATAGGAGGGTTGGGATTGATTTTGGGGGTTATTGTCATAGCTGTTTTGTTATTAGGGGCCAAAAACAATTATTTGTCTGGTTTTAAGACAATAACTTGAGTATGTGTATATATCTGTTAAATTTTAGCACAAGGTATCACAGCACAATAGAAAGATCGGGATTAATTTTGGGAGTTTTTTGTCATAGCTGTTTAGGAATTAAGGGCCGAACAAAAACAATTATTTATCTGATTCATACTGTAAATTCAGAGATTATTGTGAGGTTTTTGTCGAGCCTGCTACTTTTGTCATAGAAAGCTCGACATAGGGATACCGGTAGTGATCCTGCGGAGGCGGCGTTAGCTAACTTCTTAAAAGCTTTATATTTTAGAAGCTAGAAGACCTGGATGCTTCATACTTTGTGTATAGATGCCTTATGTTAGGAAGTTTCCGTCTGTCATATGTTCATTGTCCTTGACCTCATTTTCATGGTTCAGTGACTACTTGAAAAAAAAGTCAACATTTTTTGTAATGTTAATTTCTTTCTTATTATGAGTAATAGGATAACTATTAAGTATGTGTGTACCTTGCAAGGTCCTCATGCCCGTCAGACTATTTTCATTTGACCTTGACCTCATTTCATGGATCAGTGAACAAGGTTAAGTTTTCGTGGTCAAGTCCATATATCAGATACTATAAGCAGTAGGTCTACTATATTTGGTATATGGAATGATTGTAAGGTGTACATGTCTAACTGGAAGGTGTCATCTGACCTTGACCTCATTTTCATGGTTCAGTGGTCAAAGTTAAGTTTTTGAGTTTTGGTCTTTTTTATGCCCCCGCCATAGCGGAGGGGGAATTAAGTTTTACCCTTGTCCGAAAGTACGTACATACGTCCCAAAATTGGTTTCCCTTCTCTAACTTTAGTTTGCCTCAACCAAATGTTATGAAACTTCTACACAATGCTTATTACCACAAAACACAGATCAAGATTGAATTTTGGTGGAGTCACTTTTACTGTTCTAGAGTTATGCCCCTTTACAAATGGAAAATTGCTGAATTTATTGTTTCCGTTCTCTAACTTTAGTTTGCCTCAACCAAATGTTATGAAACTTAAACACAATGCTTATTACCACAAAACACAGATCAAGATTGAATTTTGGTGGAGTCACTTTTACTGTTCTAGAGTTATGCCCCTTTACAAATGGAAAATTGCTGAATTTATTGTTTCCGTTCTCTAACTTTAGTTTGCCTCAACCAAATGTTATGAAACTTATACACAATGCTTATTACCACAAAACACAGATCAAGTTTGAATTTTGGTGGCGTCACTTTTACCTCTCTAGAGTTAAGCCCCTTTACAAATGGGAAAATTGCTGAATTTTTCGTTTCGGTTCTCTAACTTTAGTTTGCCTCAACCAAATGTTATGAAACTTATACACAATGCCTATTACCACAAAACACAGATCAAGTTTGAATTTTGGTGGCGTCACTTTAACGGTTCTAGAGTTATGCCCCTTTATAAATGGAAAAATTGCAAAATTTTTTATTTTCTTCTAAATATCAAGTAATTTTTAAAATTGGAGTTATCTTCCTTTGTCCATGATTATAGTTGAATCAACTACAATCAATGCTTTATGCAATGCAATGTTTAATTTTGACTTCCACTGATAAAACACAGATCAAGTTGAATTTGGGTAGCGTCACTTTAACCGTTCTTCAGTTATGTCCCTTTATAACTATATGATATACAAGCGGGGGCATCATCTGTGTCCACATGTGGACACTATCCACATTTATTTCTAATACTATATGCAATAGGTCAACTTTATTTGGTATATGGAAATATTCTATGATGTACATGTCAGTCTCGCAGGTTTTATTTGACCTTGACCTCATTTTCACAGTTACTTTTCTCAGTGTTAAGTTTCTGTGTTTTGGTCTGTTTTTCTTCAACTATAAGCAATAGATCAACTATATTTGTTGTATGGAAGGATTGTAAGGTGGATATGTCTGTCTGGCAGGTATCATCTGACCTTGACCTCATTTTCATGGTTCATTGGTCAATGTTAAGTTTTCATGGTTAAGTTTGTTTCTTAGATACTATAATCAATAGGTCAACTATATTTAATGCATAAATTGATTGTAAGGTGTACATGTCTGTCTGGCATGATGCATCTGACCTTGACCTCATTTTCATGGTTCATTGGTCAATGTTAAGTTTTCTTGGCTGAGACTGTTTCTTAGAAACTATAAGCAATAGGTCAACTATATTTGGTTTATTGAATGATTGTAAGGTGTACATGTATTTCTTGTTTGGTTTATCTGACCTTGACCTCATTTTCTTGGATCATGTTAAGTTGATGTGTTACTTGAAGTAAAGCTTTATATTTAAGACTATCAACATAAAATCAATGGTTAGTAAATAAGCCGAGACATTTCAGCGTGTGCACTCTTGTTATTAATGTGAATAATGCGACTTGGTGATCATCGCTATAATAAGAACTCGCATTCTGATATCTGATACAAAAATCTGTATGCCGATTTTTCTGAAATCGCAATAATTAATCTCACATTTTAGTCCATTCTTTAAAAATCACAATAATATATGCACGCAATAATTTCTGAATTTACAGTAGACAGTAACTTGAGTATAGGTGTATGGATCACAATGAAATTCTAGCACAAGGTTCCATACCACTAAAGGATGGTAGGTATTGTCCTTGAGGTTTTGTAATTGGGGGTCAAAAAAGGTCAAATTTACTGGTTCATAGAAAATAAATTGGTTCACAGACAATAACTTTAGTATAAGTGTATGGATCTGTATGAAACTTTAGCACAAGGTTCCATACCACAATAGAAGGGTTTGGATTGATTTTGGGGGTTATTGTCATAGCTGTTTTGTAATAAGGGACCAACAACAATTTTTTGTCTGGTTTTAAGACAATAACGAGTATAAGTGTATATATCTCTATTAAATTTTAGCACATGGTTCCATACCACAATAGGAAGGTTGGTATTTATTTTGGAGGTTATTGTTGAAGCTGTTTAGTTATTAGGGGCCAAAAAGGGGCAAAAAACAAGCATTTTTCATGTTTCAGGACAATGATTTGTGTATAAGAGTATGGATCTCTATGAAATTTTACCACAAGGTTCCATGCTTCATAAAGGGTAGTTTTGATTGATTTTGGGGGTCATGGTCCAAACTGTTTAATAATTAGGGGCCAAAAAACTAGGATTTTCTGTTTTCTGGACAATAACTTGAGTATAAGTCTAGTTATTGCTATTGAATTGTGCCACAAGGTGTTATATCATAAAGTAAAGTTTGTGATTTATTTTAGGGGTTATGACCTTAATGGTTTAGTCAAAAGGGGCCAAAAATAATTCATTTGTAATACTTTGTATAAATTGCTTATTTCTTTAGCAATTTCAATGGGGTTTAATTCAAAGTCTTGAATTCTTGCATTGGGGTTCTTTAATATGCTGAATCTAATTGGGTA